AATAAAAACACAGGCAAATTTGCCTGTGTTACAATTTAAGGGATAGAATTTTTAAAAACTCATTGCCAACAAAGATTATATTCTTTTCAGGTTAATATATTATTTTATTTAATTATTTTTAAATTTTTATAATACGTATTACTAATTTAACATATTTTTAAGATTAAAAAATATAACCAAGTTAGTTGTTTTTTTTGTATGCCTATTCGAATACCATTTGAAAAGTTTAATTTATTTAACTTTTTACCTGATCTTACACCATCTGTTGACAGTTTGTTTTTTAAATACTAATTAATTAATTATTTATTTATTTAATTTTTATTAACTTTTAAATATTTAGATCCAAATCACTATAGCTTATTTGATTCAATGTATGGAAATAAAACTAATGAAAATCATTGTCTATCTTAATTATTAAAACAAGAAGGGCAAGAACGTGGTCCTAATAGTCTTTATATATACAAGAACATTAATAGTTGGGTAGAATATACATTTTGTGAAAAATGGCGTTGTCTTTATAGCCAGAATTCTCTAAGTGAAGATAAGGAATTATAGTGGCAAATAGCACTTCAAGATAATTTATATACCTGTGGAAGTCCAATTTTTAATGAAGAACATCTATTGTATAATATTCTTTTTGTTTGTGAACTTATTTCATGTAACTCACCTATTGAGACAAACTATTATACATGTACAAAAGGAGATCAAATTCAGCTTTGTTATTGGTGTAGGGCAATAGATGATTTATCCGATTTACCAACTACATTACTGATAGATATAAAAAAGTTTATCCATGTTGTAAACTATGTAAAGAATTAAGAAAAGATTATTTTACAAAAATTGAAATTAAGACTAGTAAAATGAGAGTCAAAAAACGTCTATTAGAATTTTAATTTTTTTTATAAATATATGTTAATACTACATAAAATATATAAAATAAAGTTTTTTTTTAAAAATAATAGTGGCTATAAAAAATCTATCTATTATATATCCGTATGATAATGTTTATGAGTATATTTTTAAACTTCAGCCCAAATTAATCTTAATTTAGGCCAAAATTTGAAACTATACTGCATAATAATTATTTACTATAAGAGATTAGGGGAGGGCCATGAGAGGGGGGGTAATGTAAAACACATAATCCAGTTGGTCTCGTCTAAATACAATAAAAAAAAAAAAATTAACACTTAATCTAATTATTTTAAAAAAAGAAATATGATACTTGTTATGTGCAAAGACCTGACTCTAATTTTTAAAAAAAAAAAAATTATTGAGTGAGAAATCAAATTAATTATGCGATAAAAAAAAATCAATATAATACTTACCGAATTATCACTACTCAAAGACCTGACTTGAATTTATATAAAGAAAGAAGTAATAAGATTGTCTCTGAACCAATCTTACAGATAAAATAAATGGTGGCAAGTCAATGGTTAGTAAAACTTTCTCAGTGAACTAAAATTGAGTGCCATAGAGTAAGCAGTACCAATATACTACTGTATGTATGTGCAAATCCTTTCTAATGAAACGTATAATATTATGTAATTAGGATTGTCATCTGACATTTGTTTATATTTTTTGACTAATCAAAACTAATAGATTATTAAATAGAGGGTGACAATTTATAGTCATCACTAGGTTCCTTGTTCTTGAAACTTCCTGAATATTTACTTAAATAATGATTTCTTTTAATATAAATAGTTACAAAATAAAGTGTTAATATAATTTTTGTTGAAATAGAATTAATTGAGATGTTAAAGTAGAATAACTTGTAAATATGGATGGAGAATTAGCTATAAATAATTAATTCGATAACTGACTAAATAAATATGAATAAGATTGAATAAAATGCAAAAAGATGACTAATAACTATATTATGTATTTTATATAATTGTTAAACTTAATTATGCATAATCTTAATTACACGTCACGCTGGTTATACCAATGACAGACCTAAGATCGGTGTCTGTCGCTAGGACGAAAGTTGGTTCTTGTAACCAGAATTAGGTTAGATTGGGTAGGAAAAGGCATGTTAGATTTGACGAGTGATTAATTAACGAATGTATATGTTATCTAGGCACTTTTATTATTTTGGAAAGTGGGAACTCTATTCCACACAGGGCTAGAAGGCCTTTATTTATAATTGTGAACTCAGTTATTTACATTCGCAAGAATCATATATATTGCTAAAATCTAATAAACCCAATATTGGCTTTATAGCTAATATTATTAAAATCTGCCATTTCTCCCAAATTGTTCTAATCTACCAGATCTGACAGTTCTGACATACAGTATCTGGGATTTCTGATCGAGTCCTCCAGGGTGGCCATTAATTTTGCAGTGGCGCAGCTGCAGGTCCTACATAGATCATAGCGCAGCTGCAGATATATACTATGATAATCCTTTCGTTATCATTTGATTGTACCTATTTCACTTTTTTTCTGCAACGTTAAGTTCTCTGAAATATTTTTTAATAAATTTAAGTCAGATTTTGTGTAACGATAATTTGGTCAAGCATTTAATGGCTTTAACTTCAATTTTATACCGATCGTAAAGGTGACTTGACCACGTGATATTCGTGATATTCGATAATTAATCGCAGTCAGATTATAACGATAGTTATGCAATTAATCATGATATTGCAAGAAAAAAATTAAATTTTGCTGTGATACAATTTTGATGAAATTAATAACGGGTCATAAATAGGGTAATAACGAGATTTGGCTCATTAAATTTTTTTCAAACTTGGATATTTCATTTCTTATTTCTGATTTGTAATGTTGTATTTCATTCGTGATGTTATCTGGAACTTGGCATTATTCTTGTTGAAATATTCACATAGCAAGTACGTGATATTACATTTCATTCGAAATGTTTGTATATTCTATTTGCAAATATAACGTTTTGACATGCTATAAATAAATATTAAAAATTTTAAAAGACAATCGAAAAGCACCGCACGCATGTGATATAGATTTAACATTTGGATGCATCTAGCTACTAGCGCCAGATATTAAACTTTATTGAGCGATTTTTACAGATACATCAGCGCAATCGATGTACAAACTGAGACGGGATATACTTCCAGAAATAGCAACCAAATGGCGCTGGGTACCTCCGTCTTCAGTTGAATTCGCGATGCGTAACATCAGTCGGTGGTCTCCCACACTGCATAAAGCAGGCCGACTTTAATATGAAGTTTCAAGTTAGCACCAACTGGGTAGGGAGGGTTGGATGCGAATCTTGTTTGCTTTCGCAGTTGTTTACGCAATGCTTTACTGTAACAGCGCCCGTTTTTCTTTTAATCGAATTCTGCCGACAATGCAACTATTGTTAGTGTGTTAGTACTCCTTACGTCTTAAATCAGCAATTGATTATACTCATCTGATTCCATGCACGCTATCATGCGATATTAAAGATATCAATTCCCTTACACTTAATGATTGCCCATATTGGGCTAGTTAGCGATCTGTTGACTCGAAGCACCGCTCCATTGTAGCACCTTATTTGTCTTTGATCATCATTGCGCCGTTTTCTGATTTTCAGCCTTACCTGTTATGTCATTACGGAGGTGAAAGGTCATGTGATTGCTCTTCTTTTCGATCACGTGATATCCTATCACTTCGCAAAGAATGACCACCTGATCTTGCACATTTAATAGCATTTTGAACATCAAATACATCTATCTTATGTTCTATGTTAAGATCTTTATAAGCAATAAAGTTATCTCGAGCTATGTTGGTCTCTAAACCTAAAAGATATGATATAATCAGGCCTTTTAATATGATATTGATCAAGACACCTTCAAATGGAATCTTCTGGACATTTACTAAGCGACTGAAGGTATGAATAGTTACAAAAAAGAAAAATAGAATGTACAAATGTGAAATGATTTTTTAAAGACGATTTACAATAGCTTTCTTAACATATAATTGTGTACAAAAGTTAGACGAGTTTTGAAAAGCATTAAATATCTTTTCATATTCTGGAAATGCTACAACTGGGGCTTATTTATTTTATAAAAACAAACAAATCTTCAAATTTAATGAATATTCATACATTATAATTTATGAATTCTGCATTGGTTTAATAGCAACTTGAATATCCTGCAATAAAATTTTTAGATTTGTTCTTCGATTTATTTCATATAGACAACGATCGTCTTTTGGTTTCATTTTCTAAAGTTCTATGGGATTGTTTATATTTTCTGTGATTTTCTGCATCATTTCATTGCATTTTTGACCTATTACATTTACAGCCAAATTCTGTAACTCTGTCCATGAAATGAAAAAAAATCATGTCCCTGCTTTAGACTTTCAATTTAATTTTTCGATTAGGTTGTCTGGAATTGTTGATTAAATTAGCCAGAAGTCCCACTAAAAATAGAGCTAGTATGTTTATAAATTTAAACTTAATACAGTACGCTATTACGATAATTTATTGATTTTTAGGCCTTTAAACAATTCACATACTTATTTAGAAATTGATTTCACATCACTAGATAAGAAGCTATACAGTTCGCAAATATTTTAACTAGTGGCTCTAAACAATAAGCCATCCAGTTGACAAATATTTAGGCTAGTGGCTTTGAGACCTTACAAGTAGTATAGATTTTTTTTTCTAAGTTTAAAGCAGAAAATTAGCGATCCCAATTTGAATAGATAAATTAGCGATCCCAATTTGAAAAGATAAATTATGCAATCTTTTATTATACATACATAACTAACCCTAAATTCGAACTTTAACTATAAATTCAGTTCCAGTTGTGACAAAATTTAGGGTTTTTTTTACAATATACTGTAGATTATGAACAATAGTCAGTTTAATGCTTTATTTATTTTGTTTATTTTGGTTTTAATATTACTTTATAATAAAATAAGCACAATCGTAACATTTATAGAATATAAAAAGGTATTTTAAAATTACAATATTTAAATCCTTTTAATCCTTTCATGTTCATTTAGGAACGATTATAAATAAATATATAAATTTTTAACGAAATGATTTCATATTTGTACAATATATTGCTTTTTATTGTAACTATTTATGCGTTACAATATCCTGTCCCAGTTAGTAAATGTCCAGGAGAAGATTCTCTTCGAAAGTGTCTTGATCAATATCTGTTTAAAGGGCCTGTCAATTTTCGAGATAACTATACTGCTTATAATAAAGATATTGATTTTGAATATGATAAATTAATTATTCATTTTCCAGTAGCATTTGCTCATCCTATAGATGAAATAGATGTTCAAAATGCTATTAATTGTGCAGTAAAATTAAATATTCCTATTGTTGCAAGATCAGGTGGTCATTCTTATGAAGGATATGGGATGGGTGATAAAGATTGTTATTTAGTTGTTGATCTTGTAACCTTAAATAAAATTACCGTCGATACAGTCTCTCAAACCGTTGTAGTCGGAACAGGAAATACATTACAATCAGTATATTACGAAGTGGACCAACATTCGTTTGCATTTCCAGGTGGAACTTGTCCTAATGTTGGAGTTGGCGGATTAATAATGGGTGGTGTAAGCATTATTTTGAATTTTATTATACATTTCTATATTTAACCCATAAAACTATATATTATAAGGATCATATTTCCGTTTAATTTCCACTAATCTTTCAAAATTTTCTCCATAATATCTGCATTGCCAATTATTTAATTGTCTGTCAATTAAGTTTTGATAATTTTCATAATTAGCATAATGTGGTTGAAAATATTGAGAAAATTTTTCCATCTCTTGATAACACATATCAAAATTTTTATATTCGTAATCATGCAAAAACATGCCTGTATGGTACAAAAAACCTCTGTGAACATATGCGGTATCATTTCGTCTAATTTCATTAACTCTTCCACCACTAATTAGCAATGTCTCAGATTGTAGTTTACATTTTGAAATTTTTTTAACAAATCTCATAAGATACTTAATTCCTTCATAAGATAACCCTCTCGAATCAAAGAAAAAAGTTTTTGCTTTCATAAAACCAGGAGGAGGTGTATCACCTCCTCCTACAAGTATACTATATAAATCGTTTTCTCCATATGTTACACTTTTAGGTTTACTTAATTTAACAAATTCTTGCATATGGAGTCGCAATTCACTTGCAGATCCTAAATAAATCCCAGATATAGATGTTGAGGGAACAGAGCGAATATTCATGTAGAGAGTCAAATTTTGATGAATATTATTGCCTAGTTGTTTAATTACTGAGAATACTAAAGGAGTCTGATCAAAATCATATTCATATCTTAAATTAGTTACGATCTTCGGGATAGGATATATTCTGAGGGTTAAAGTTGTAACAATACCAAATCCAGCATTTCCTGCACCTCGAATAGCCCAGAGAAGTTCTGGATAATTTTTAGCATTGTAAACTATTGTCCCATTTGCCAAAACAATTTGTGCATCAAGAATATTGTCTGATGCTAGTCCAAATTTTCGACTGAGATATCCCATACCCTATTAAAAAAAAAAAAAAAAAAATT